TGATGCCGGCTGGCACACTGATTCACTATGAATGTAGGCCGCACCCCCTAGCGGCAGAAGCTCGTACTACATCCGGTTCGCCCTCTATTGACACAGTCTGGAAACGTTCCGATCGCACCTCGTATCACAACTGCCATTTCCCTGTTCACTTAAGTGATCACAAATTACCCAGAAAGCCATGCAGGGACGCAGCAACATTGACATTTGATGTGACGTCAATATAAATCAAAAACTGTTTCGAGAATAGACAGATGTCTCAAACAAACTCTGTAATATGCTTTTTGATGTATGTGTCACGACCCGAGCTGTCAACGTACCCTGAACTATGTCACAACCAAGTTTAATGTGACGCGTTGCGTGGGTGTATCGATTCGGGCAATCCGTTCACATTAGCGTCTTCCAAATTAGCTTTCATTTTTTAGATGCTTTCCAAAAAATTAAAATCAAATAATCGATCTACTTGTTAACTTTATCAAGTCCGTTCGTCTCTCATCAAATAACGCCCTCTCCACTGACTGACCAATTTAGACGAGACCATGTATCGTTGTCCTGTATTGATCTTGTGCAGAATTTCGTTTTTGGACATGGCTGATTGTCATAACGGGACAATCAGCTTCATAATTTTTTCTCTCATAAAATGAAGTCTTGGGATTTAAAATGGCAACACAAACTATTTTAAGTGTTGTATAAAGTGTGGTTTCTCGTTAAAACTAAATGAAATATACAGGGTAATGTTTCGTGCTTGCTAGAAAATTTTATTATCTGTATTATAAGTGTATTTTCATTGGTTAAAGTTGCAAGTTGAAGACACTAACCTAAAATACTATTAAAACCTTCTTTGACTGAGACTAATTTATCTCTGATTATCGGAAATATTGTTAGGATGATAAAATTAAGTAAGATTAGATCATGGGTTATTCAGCGTGGATACTTTAGAGTAGAAATATGTACAACGTTTCATCGGAAACCCTGAAGTAAGACACACAATGGTTGGCCTAGACATAGATGGAAGGATATTATTAAATTTTAAGAAAATTTGGGCGAATCATTCTCTACTGGATTCAGTTGTCTCATGATGAATAATTTATCGTGTTATTTTGAATACATTATTAATGAGGAATTTTGGGTTCCATAATTTTCGACCAGCTCAGCGAATATCAGCTTCTCAAGAACTTTTCGTCTCTGATTTACCTAGCAGACTTGTTTTACGTTTCTTGTACGGTTTACAAGTTGTAATGGCATCTGACAGGTTCCTCTAGGATTCTCCTGTCAGAGGTTTGAAGTCTCTCCTTCCAGTTTTCGGTAACCTGCCACGTGAGGTACACAGCGCTGTCTGTCTTTCGCTGTGCCATGTACTGAACTTTCGACTTGTAAAATTTATTTACAAAGTCTGAACTTGCCTTAATTCCAAATTCAGTATGCGATACGGCAGCATCAGAAATGGCTGTACCACGTCATTAGCATAATCAGCGTTCTTCCCTGCGTTGCCAAATTTATTCTTATCCTTTATTTTCGTAACGACCCATAAATTATGAATGCCGCGTCGTCACTAAGTAGCCTCTGTGCACAATAGTAAAAGTAAAATAAAACTTAAAAAACGAATTTTAATAAGGAAATATCTGAGCTGGTTTTAACCTAAGACAGTTACCACCACTTGTTCCGTCATCTTACAGCGGCGTGAACAGTTGAACTATTATTATTATTGGCATTGACCTTAAATGTTTATTCATTTTATTACTCATAATTTTTCATCTCCAGACAGCCTTATTGTTTTATATAATGCTTTAATTAGGTCAAAGCTTGAGTATGTCTCGGTCGTGCGGAATAATCTTACACAGACAGATTCTAATAAATTAGAAAATATTCAAAGGAAATTTATCAGTTTGTGTAATTACCGATTATTTCAGTTTAATATTCCACGGAAATATGAATTAATGTTATCTACTTTAAATCTTAGAACACTTAATTCCAGACGACGACATCTCGATGCGTTATTTCTTATTAATGTATTAATGTAGGTCGAAGGAAAACGAAAGCCAGTACGGACATAGGAAATCAGAAAGCGAGCTGCAAAGTACCTCAGCTGGCAAACAATGTTCCACTCCCTCAGATCTCATTTGCCATTAATTCTAAAGGATCTCAAGCGCACAGGTTCGCCCCGGATACTACATTCCTGTCTGTACCGCCACTCTGGTGGAGAATCGTGGGTCGATCCCTGCAAGGGTAGCCTGCCACTTTCTTCCGCAGTCAGGTCTATACTTATTGTTCCTTATGGTATCAGAAATTCGTCTCGTAGTCTTCAACTTATTTTATAAAAATTTCGGAGTATTTCATGATTTATAACAGACAATTTTCGTCCTGAGAAAGGGATTAGTTTACTCTCTAAAGCTTTGACTCCACCATTAGACGTCAGTAATTGAATGAGTACAACCCCTTGAAGTAAAAGCCCCTGATGAGTGGATGCTGGTTTAGGCTGTACTCTGACACAGGTATGCACTCAGGGGAGGCATTTTCTGAAACAAAAGGTTCGAGGGCCACACGACAGACTTTCTCATCCGGATCGGATTATGCCGAAGCGGGGGGGTTGATGCCTGAAATAACATTACACTATCTCCATAACAACGGACTCCGTTATCCACGACACTTGTCCTTGCAATATTTACAGTCGCATGGACACGGCTATTATCCTGGTATAACAAGCAGTTTGTTTCTATTCCAGACACCCACAGTAAATTGATTTAATTCGTATTGTATTTAAACAAATTTCTGCTATCATAGACATTTTTGCTAGGTTCTGTAAGTGAAAAATGTTGTTGAATGAAATAACATTAATTTTAGTGATTATGTGCGTCATTTAACAGATTAAATTCCCCTATTACGTACTGTTCAGGTATTCAAGGCTGTGAAAATTTCGGTGACAATGACGCTATCTAGGTATTACGCATCGAATCAAGAAATATATAATTGATTCTATTAAATTGAATTCCTCTGCCGTCAAGAAGGATAGAAATGGTAACCTCGAAGTTTGCCTTCAGTGGTAATTATCACCTGCTCCGTTTTTACGTCAATAGGTAATCAGCGCTGTGTTAACAACGCAATGTTGTTCACCGACGAACTGTACAGAATTCTAACACGCCTGGTGTTAATGACACCAATGTGGACGGAATTCGTACGAGAGGATCAATAATCATCCACAGTGGAAATAACACTCACTTTCTCGTTGCCAGGCAAGGAAACAGGTAGATTCTGGTCAATAAAGCTCTTTGCTGCGTTACATCAAAGTGCGCACGACAGAATAAACCTTTTGTCATATTGCCGTTGTTCAACTCATTAAGAAATTTCTAATGTTCACGGAACCCTGACGTTCATTGCCTTGCTCACCGTAAAGCTAATCCATTGGGCCTTATTCTGATTAAACTGAATCCGGTTCGCACCATCACGCAATTTTCTAAAACCCATTTTAATATTATCCTCTCATTTACAATCTACGTCTTTCAAATGGCCTTGTATCTAAAAGCCATTTACCGTCGTCCCTTTGCGTGCTATATGCCTCAACCGTGTTTGTTGATTTTATAAATATAATAATATTGCTTTACAAGTCCAAACTATGAAGTTTATTCCATACCGGAACACAGATAATATCCTCATACATTTCTTCCACCGTGCGCTTGGAGATAATGAAGCTGCTTTGTTTGAAAGTTCCTACTTTGACCACCAGACTGCATGACTCATTGTCCACCTCACGACTTTCCTCTTCCGTAATTATTTTATCACGGCACGTAAGATATTCAGAAGTACGATCTTGAGGTCGTGTAAATTAGCACAACCTCCATATGAAATTTAATCCAAATCCGTCCAGGATTAACGACTTAAATCGATTGGAAAGCTGGACGGACATGTTGGATCATCTCACGAAGCGTTACCTCTACGAAACTTCATGCAAAGAAAGCTTAAAATATGGGTAGTTTTCCGACCACCTGAGCGAATGTCAGCTTATCGAGGACGTGGCCCCATGGTATCTTGTAGTTATCTGAGGTTCGTAGTAATGGCTTTATGACTGCCGCAGAGGAATGGCATGTCCCCTCCTTACACGGAAACCGTGTTCAAGAGAGGCACATCCACATGTTTTATTTCTATAAGATTCGTTTCAGTATTATTTTACCATCTACTACTAGGTCTTCCATGTGATGTCTTCCCTAATTGCTTCCCCATGCGAGCTTGTTCTCCCGTTCATTTAATTTGCCTTGATTTGATTATTGTAATTTTTGTTGAAGGGCCAAAGTTATGCAGCTCCTTAAACATGTAATATTCAAGACTACGAATGAATTATTTCGAGATAAATAATCAGAGCACAGTTTTTAGTTGCTTTCAGAATTATTTTGTTTGCGTTGCTGTGTTCTTGTATGTGGAGCGTGCATTGGTGATAAAATACGAAAGAATTTACGTTATCACAGCAAAAAGAAACAGCTATTACAAACACACTTTTATAAACATGATTCCTCGAAGATGTGACGTTGGTCATGGCCAATGAGAGTTAGTTTTGGAGTGGAAAGAGATGGTGAGTTGCGGTAACAGCGCTCCTAGCGGCAAGGCTTGGAAACTTAGTGCGGTATTCAGTCGGTAGACGGCAGCGCGGAAAGCGGACGTCTTGACGTCAGGTTCCTCGCGCCTTGCACTTTGATCTCTGCCTAGTGAATCCCCCTCCGCGTTTGACTCTCTCGCGGGAACGTGGACCACAGGCGAATACGCCCCGAACAAGCAATTTGGACTTCGAACAGTGATCATGTGATTTTATATCGACTCCCTGGACACTGACGTATAAAGTAATTTTCTTTTCGTATTTACCAATGTTTAGAGACGTGGAAAATATTTATTGAAGTTTCAATGACTTTGCGACAGAAAAATATGTTTTTGCGGACGTGGAAAATATTTATTGAAGTTTCAGTGACTTTGTAACATAAAAATATGTTTTTACATTTACAGAAACCATGAATTTTTATGTTAAAATATGTTTATTTTAAAACTTAATATTATTAAAATGTGGTTCGGATGGAACGATGTATATATCGTGCTGGTATGTCAGTCGTAAGCGGTTAATATATCTACCATTTTTTTTAAACGGTATACAGCACATTGTAACTGATTTGAAACATTGCGTGTTTAACGAGTTACAACTTTGCTGTGAGCTGCAGTTATGAAAGTTAGCAGTGATTAGTGCACAAGAGTTTTTGAATTTGTGCTTCGTTTTAAGTTAAAACTTAACGTACGATAAACTTCAAGATTAATAACATAAACGTTACGTACATTGTAAATAATAACATAAGACGCCATCATGTTTAAATAGATATTATTATAACTCATTTTTAATTACGTAGTTTTCGTAACTAATTAATATCTAGTATTCTTTTTACGTGAGTTTAAATTCAGATTTAAAGTAAAGGCTGTCATATCCTAATGACTTCTTTAACCTCAGTAAAATGGAAGTGAATGTCCCAGTGTCTCTCTGGTTGTAAAACAGACAAGACCGGTCAAACTAGGTACGAGTGACCAGTCAAGTGTCTCTTTGGACGTATTCTTACGGTAATATTAAAACAATATAAGCAGCGTTACATAAGGAATTTTATAAAGCCGGTGTATTGATTTTGTGTAGTTTATGTGGATATTGGCTTAGCTTTTCTGAGAAACTGGTGCTTCCGTTAACGTTAAAGTTATTTTTTCACTATTATCTGTGGCTTAATTTCTGGGATTCGTTATTCGTTGTTTGGAATTTACGTATATTTGATGGCAATGTTTCGGTAATGTATTAGAACACAGAAAGTTTTAGTGTGTGTTATGTTTGCTTCGATATACGATGAATTGCGTGATTGTCAATTGCCATGATAAAGGTGTTGGTGAAGACGAAACCATGAACCGAATCACCAGTTCCAGCTTCTTCATTCTCGTCGTCACCAGCTTCGTCATGTTGGAGACTTCAGTTAGTACTGGTAAGTCCCTTTTAAGTCCTGCTGTTTGCTTAAATCTTGACAAAGAACATTTCCATACAGGTGGATCATGATATTTTGGTTTTAGCGATCTGCCTAACTTAACGAGGTAGATAGATTACTTCTTGGAAAGCTGAGAGTCGCCCAGCTGGTCAAAAATTGCATTGAATTGTATTGTATTTATGACACCTTAAAGTTCAATACCGTGTTTACAAACGCCAGCCAGCAATCTTTATCCTAAACCATATGAATCTGGTGTACACATTCGAAGCTTATTTATCAAGTAGTCATTTTAATATTATCCGTCCTCACACCCTTTCGTCTTCTGAGTTATCTTTTGCCTTGAAGTCAAATTACTTTATGTAAATTTCAGTCTATTCCGTCACAATGTAATTATCCTTAAAAGTTTTATTTATTCAAGTCATTAATATTTATTTAACGACAATTCTTCAGTAGCTGATACTATATAGCATCGAGTGAGAGGATATTAAATAATTAATTCGAAAGGATTTGAAAGGAAAGTTTTGTGTTACGAAAATTAGCGGAGAAGCAAGCACGATTACGGGGTATGATTAAGATACACTTTATTTCTTGGGAAGAAAGAGTATTATGTTATTGTAATGTACCCAGGCTTTGCCCGTTTGTCCTCCTAATAATTACGAATGAAAACGTTTGCGTGGTAAGGAACAGGAGCTTGAGACTGTGAAATTGTTCTGTGATTAATATATAATGAAATTATAATTTGGAGAAATACGTAACTTCGTGATATTCACGGCAAGGGGGCGGTTGTTATGTTTATTTCCGGGGACATGCAGCTTTGAAAACATCCAATAAATGTGAGATTTGAGGTTCTCAGTACGACAAATATGCGACGCCCTGATGATGGAAATAGTGAGGTCCCCCGAAACATCGGTCAATATCTACCTGACTAAACCGTGAAAGTTGTCTGAAGACAGCCATTTTAATTTAGAAAATTTGTTAACAGAGAAAGATAGTTAACGACAATCCGAACGTCTAGAGTTAAAATAAAATCCTGATTACAAATACAAACGTCAAAGAATTGCGCCTGTACGTAGTTTATTCAAAATAACATAAACAGTAATGAAATATCCGAACAAAATTTAGATTTCGGATGTTTTCTTACTGAAGAGTCAGGACAAATGGTCAAATTTTGTCGAAGCCAATTATATACTAATTGTATAATGCTAGACTTGTTAATGTATACGTCAGAATGACTATAATTTATTCGCACAAACGAATTGTCTTTATTATACGCTGGTCATTATTAAACATTACAACTCTCAGATTATGGGCAGGATTTCCTTTTTTATGGGAACTGTAAGTGCTTACCTGATCGAAACAGTTTTAAAATTTTATAATTTTACATAGTTATGGCAGAATACGTATCAATCAACAATCAGTGTTTGCCATCTGAAGCACTTAGTTTATCTAAGTAGTATTTCAAATATTCAAGTCGTACCTCAAAGGGTAACAACTCAACTCCATGACGATAAACAACCGGTAAACGTTGTTAGTGAAATAATGTTTTCTTTTTATTCTGAGAATATTACGAAACTCGTGTATACACTCTCGGGTAAAGAGGAGTTATTGATTTTTAATGCGGATGGTGTATGTACTTACTGCTGGGATTTATACGGGCAATTTTGTCTTTTATGATTCTTACATTTTGTACGTAATACAACGATGAAATTATTTACCTTTTAACTTATGTTAACAGACGTCGTTTGTTTCCAGTGCTAAGAGACCCAAGGTCATTGGACGGATGAAATTAAAATTCAGTGCGATGTGCGCAGGTCATACCGGTTCGATTTTCAGGTTAGATCATTACATATGGAATGCCATTTTACCGAGTTCCCTGAAATAACCACTCGTATGTTTGGTTACCCAGTAGATTTGGAGAAATCTGTTTGTTTGTTTGTTTGTTCTGTCATTCGAGTAGCCACACTGCTCTGTGTAAGTTCCATGCACCTGGATTTATTTCGAAATCCAACTTTACAAACTCGATACAGTCATACGACGTCTTATTCTGCGTGTACCACCTTCCTTCAATCGAATTCAATTTATGTACTTTAAATATGATGCCACATCTGTTACTAATAAAATATTTCTATGCGTACGTTTCTTTTACTACTCGATACAGTCATACGACGTCTTATTGTGCATATACCACCATCTGAAAGTTTCTTTCAATCGAATTCAATTTATGTACCACTTTAAATATGATGTCACATCTGTTACTAATAAAATATTTCCATGCGTACGTTTCGTTTAATTTAAGGATTTTTATTCTGGTCTTTGCGTCCAGACCTAAAAATGGGGCCCACCCATCCTCCTGTCCAATGGGTACCGGGGTCCTTTCCCGAGGTTAAAGCGCGGCCGGGACGTGACGCTGACCACTCACCCCATCTAGTGCTGAGGTTAAGAATTAATAGGATCAAAATAACCTCTCCCCCCAAGCCCCTACATGGCGTGTAGAAAGACAGATTTACTTTAATAGTATTGAGTAACGTTTGTGTGATCAATAATTTATGCATTACGTCGTGTGGTGCATTATTTATGTCAAATACGTATTCTGACAAATTTGCCGATATATTGATGATAATTTATGTGAAGTGCGGTATTGAAAGCGTTGTCGAAGCCGATGCTATGAACATACCATCTATTATTGCCCGCTTTTCGCGGTATTTTATATTTGTGGACATCAGGCGGTCGCCATGCTTAAAATAACCGTAATTCTTCTTATTTTAAGGACATCAAAGTTTTGTTTTCTTGTTCTGTGGAAAGCGCGCGGTGTTAGGGATCTTAAATAATTTTATTCTGGTTTAATCTTTAATTTGTTACGTATGTAGTTTAGACATGATGTGAATTGAAGCACAGGCCTATGTATAAACGAGGTTGTAATGTTCATTCTTTGGCTATTTAAAGACACTTTTTCAACTGCAGATTTCTTTTAGAGTCAGGTGATAGCATGACTGTTAATAATTCTTTATAATAGACGTAAAGGCAAATGTGTGTTACGTGTTTGACATAGTGTCCTATACTTTTCGCGTAGAGACCGATGAATACCGCGAAGGAAAGTCGGGAAATCTTAATGTAACCGGATCGGGAGTCATGGAATAAATAACTTTCCGTAAACCAAGCAGGTTTCATATAACGTGCCCATTAGTTTTGGTGTTTAAGATTCATGATATCAGATACCTTTCATCGGTAGCCATGTCTGGTTGTCTGTCTGATACTTAACGCCAGAGTCCTAATAAAAGTTGTGAAATGATGAGGAACTTGAAACGTGTTGGTCTACTTTTGGATAATGTACTCAAATTTAGAATTTAGAACAACTGTGGTGTGTCTCTGATCAAACAGTTTTCAGAAATTTTTTCTTCGATTAACTTCGAATAAAACGTTCGGTAGCCATTATATATAACATTCTCACAGGTTACTGGAAAATGTAACGTATCTGTTCTACGTCACAGGCTAACCGTGTACCCGGGAGGTACACGGTTAGAATCTGGGTCTAGTTACCAGTTGTTCTCAAAAAAGAATTCTCAAAGTTTCCCCACAGTCCTACCCCTTTAAAGCCGAAGCTCGTCTAAGCAACCTTACATGTAAGTCTCATATTCTTGGTTTATGCATTTTTATCGTTTATAAGTTCAGCGAAGATTTTCTGATTTGCAATGAACTTGGCAAGCTTATTTCTTAAGACCAATGATAGATTATTTAAGTGTAAAACACCAAATAATAGACCTGGTTTCGATTCCCGATTCAGGAATTTACAGTAGCTGCACAGATAAGAACGATTTTGGCCCAAAATTCTGGGTTCGATTTCCAGTGAAGATGGTTTCTGTAACTCGGATAATTAGCAGCGCATAAAAAATATTCCATGTATATATATTAGACGATCTTTCGGGCGACCTAAGGCACAGAGTATAATCGACACTGGCCGTCGTCACACCTAACGTCGCAATGCCGAACTAAATTTAAGATAAACTAAGATTAGCTACGGGAGGACATTCGACAGAACACCCACAAACCAACACCGAGAGTTGACACGCCGACTAAGGATTCCACTTAAAACGTACATGACCATAGCGAAGGCACAAGACGCCAAACGTCGCGACGTCACGAAATAGACTCATTATTCATGACGCCAGAGAAACAAGACACGACACTGGGGAAGCGACGCTGAGCGTCGTAACGTATAACAACGAGACGCCGACTCAATATTCGATTCTTTCTAACGTCAACCAAGGGAAGCTAAGAGGAACGTCACTGGAATAACGACGAGAAGAGCCGCAACGTCGGTTTTCTCGACGTCGACATTAGACAAACGAAATTACCGTAAAAGGACGCGATCTGACACGGTGGTGGAATTCCGACACCGAGAGACGACAAGGAGATGAAAATCTCAACAAGAAAACCTTGGCATAGACGAAAATCATGAAGATAAATCAACCTCGAAGCGTCGCGACGACGAAGAATTTCGCCAACTAACTAGACCTAACCCAATGAAGTCTAATCAATCCAAATTTTACCTAACCTAACCCAACACAATTTGTCCAGACCAGACACGAACCGACCCTACCTGACCTTACTCGATAAAACCCACACCAAGCCAACACCACTCAAACCAACTCAAACGAACCCAATCTAACACAAATTAGACCTAACCTAACCTAACCTAACCTAACATAACCCAACCCAACCTAACCTAACCTAACTTTACCCAACTCAACCTATCCGAACCTAAACTATCCTATCCTACACTAACCTAATGTAACTTAACTAAACCTAACCTAACCGAACCTTAAAGTTATTAGTCAAAGTCGTCTATCTCACTCTAGTCGCCATATTGTCAGGAGATGCCAGGTCGCAACGGTAGCCCAGGTTATCACCTTGGCTCAGAGCAGAAAAACTGCAGTCACTGATATTATTTAATAATTCAGTCCTTACCGTAAAGAAAACACAACTATTCAAAGATATGAAGA